TCATCATCATCATCATCATCATCATCAACATCAACATCATCATCATCATCATCATCATCACCATCACCATCACCATCACCATCATCATCATCATCATCATCATCATCATCATCATCATCATCATCATCATCATCATCATCATCATTATCAGCATCATCATCATCAGCAGCATCATCATCATCATCATCAGCAGCAGCATCATCATCATCATCATCAGCAGCAGCAGCATCAGCATCAGCATCAGCATCATCATCAGCATCATCATCAGCATCATCATCATAATCATCATCAGCATCATCATCAGCATCATCAGCAGCATCATCATCATGATCATCACCATCATCATCAACATCAGCATAATCAGCATCATCATCATCAGCATCATCATCATCAGCATCAACATCAACATCGTCAGCAGCATCATCACCACCACAATCATCATCCATCACCATCATCACCATCATCACCATCATCATCGTCATCATCGTCATCAGCATCATCATCATCAGCATCATCAGCATGACCATCATCACCATCATCAGCACCATCAGTATCATAATCAGCATCAGCATCATCAGCATCATCAGAAGAGGAGGACGCAGAGGAGAAGGAGGAGGATGAGGCGGGGCAGGAAGAGGAGGAGGAAAAGGAGGAGGAGGACGAGGAGGAGGCATTTCGGATGGTCCCGAGGCCCGAGGACTGGCCCCAGACGCCGACACCGAAGGATACGAGTGGGACCGAAAATACCCTCCCTCCTCCTCATCCTCCTCCTCATCCTCCCTCCCTCCCTCCCTCCCTCCCTCCCTCCCCCTCCTCCGCCTCCTCCTCCTCCGCCTCGTCCTCCTCCTCCTCCGCCTCCTCCTCCTCCTCCGCCTCCTCCTGCCCCTCATCCTCCTCCCCCTCCTCCCCTCCTCATCCTCCCCTCCTCCTCCTCTCCTCCTCCCCCCTCCTCTCCTCCTCTCCTCCTCCTCCTCCTCCTCCTCCTCCTCCTCCTCCTCCTCCCTCCCTCCCTCCCTCCTCCCTCCCTCCTCCCTCCCTCCCCCCTCCCTCCCTCCCTCCCTCCCTCCCTCCCTCCCTCCTCCCTCCTCCGCCTCCTCCTCCTCCTCCTGTGGGGAGGTGCTCTGAGGATCATCTGGTGGCGGGGTGCGCCGCTCGGAGACTCCTTCCCTCCCAGAGATTTCCGTGTTCGTTTCGTTTTCGTTTCCCCCCGTTTTGTCTCCAGTCCGCCTCTGCTGCAAAACGACACCGAAGCGAAAACACGGCCCACGGAGTCGCCAGAACACCGTCTAGGTCGACCCCCGGGTGCCTCTCCTCCAAGGCGGCGGCGAGGAAGATCGGGCGCGGCCTAACACGCCCTCGGCAAACCATCACCTTCCGTGACGCCATCCTCGCCTTCCGAGCTCCCCCTCCGGCCGCATGCCTGCGTCTCTTGGGGCGAGGCGAGGGGGACGCCACGGGAGGGGATGGTTTGCCAGGGGCCGGGTCTTGCGGTCGCTCGGACGCCCATTTCCTGTGCATGTGTCGGCTTCCCGCGTGCTGTTTTTTGTTGCTCGATGGTCCAGGATGGTCCTCGCTGGTTCTCGCCGAGAAAAAAATGCACGCCCCTGAGAAGCGCGCCAGCGTGCGTCCCTGCCGACCAGCCCGCGCGTCCCTCAGGACCGAGGAGGAGGAGGAGGAGGAGGAGGAGGAGGAGGAGGAGGAAAAGGTGGAGGGAAAGGAGGAGGAGGACGAGGAGGAGGAGGAGGCGGAGGAGGAGTGAGGCAGAAGAGGGAGGAGCGAGGCAGAAGAAGCACGGAGGACGAGGAGCGAGGCAGCCAGGAGCGCGCCCGAGCGATGCCAGGGCTCAGGCCGCCCCCGAGGAGCGCGCCCGCGCGCGGCTGCGGGCCGTCCTGACCGACAGCTCCGCCAGGCTCAGCACCGGGTCCTGCGGGGGCCGGCTCCCGCGCCGCGGGGGGGGGCGCGCGCCGCGGGGGGGGCACCCGCTCGGCCCGGGAGCGCGCTCTCGCGCTCGGCTCCGCCCTTCCGGGGGGGGCCTCGTCCAGGGGAGGGGAGCCAGCGCAGGGGGAGGTGGAGGAAGGAGGAGGAGGATCAAGGAGGCGAAGAATAAGGAGGAAAAGGAGGAGGAGGAGGAGGAGGAGGAGGCAGAAGAGGAGGAGGAGGAGGGAGGGAGGGGAGGAGGAGTAGTAGGAGGCAGAGGAAGAAAAACACGAGGAAGGAGAAGGGAGGGCGGAAGGAGAAAGGAGGAAGGAGAGGGGGGGAGGACGAGGATGACAAGGATTAATCTTCTGTCAGCTATCATGAACTGCCTGTCCTCTCCTGCCGCGCTGCAGCGTTCTGTTGCATGCCTGCTTCCCCTGACCGAGGCCAGGTGTGTCTCCTTGCCTTGCGGCATGACGCTTCTATCCCTGCTCCCCCTGCTCCCTCACCTCCTCGCTTGATCTCCCACGCCCCTACCCTCTCTCTCTTCCCTTCTCCCTCCTCCCTCCTCCCTCCTCCCTCCACTCCCTTCCGATATCATAGATGACTCCTCCCTCGCACCCCGAGGCCGTTCGAAAGGGCGGGCTGGGCGTTTAGCCTGATACTTCCTTACCGCTGAAGACCCTGATGCTTAAACTGACTGGACAACCGTTCACACATAGAGGGCGGGTCGCTTCCAACATGCGGCTCTCGCCTCTGCGTCGCGCACATGTGTTTTAAACAGTTGCGCAAGCTTCATACACTAAACGCGGGTGGTGTTCAACATGCGGTTCTCGCCTGAGCGCCGCGCACATTCGTTTTCAACATGTGCATTGAGGGCGGGTCGTCTTCAGAATGCGGTTCTCGCTGTATCGCCGCGCGCATTCGCGTCTAAAACAAGGCAAAGGCTTCCCGGATTGAGGGTGCTTCGTTTTCAAAGTGTGGCTCTCGCCTTCGCACCGCGCACAGTCGTTTGAACAACTTGCAAGTGCTTCACGGATTGAGGGCGGGTCGTTTTTTGAATGTGGCTCTCGCCCAGGCGCCGCGCACATTCGTTTTAAATATTTGCAAGAATCCAACTGGTCCTCGTGGTTCCCGCACCAGACAACACGTAGTGGAGCGATTCAGGATGATCAGGGCGCAACAGTACCGTGATTCGCGGTGAAGTCCCAGGAATGGCGCTCTGGCGCGACTGAGGATCGCCGAGACGTGACAGTCAAGTAAACTCGCGGCGTTGAGGTCATGGGAATGGTGTTTTGGCACGCTTCTAGATGTTCACACTGTTGTCCCCAAACGGGGCAATTCCCTCTGCGGAAATTCCCCAGGTAGGGGCCTATGAAAAGGGATCTTGGCGGGAGGGTATAACTATGTCAACATCGTTGATGAGTCTTGGGTTTACACGGGTTTCTCCTCCTCCTCCTCCTCCTGCTCCTGCTCCCTCCTCCTTCCTGCTTCCCCCCTCCTCCCATCCCCTCCCTCCTCGCTCCTCTCTCCTCCTCCCTCCTCCCTCGTCCCTCTACTCGGCACGGAGCAACGCCTTCGGGGCAGAACATAAAACTAACCTCATGCCCGTGGGAATAAACACTAGGGGATAATAAAGTTCGGGGTTCAGGGAGAGATAATAAAAGTAGCCCAGCAGACCTCAGCATAATCTCGAAGTAAGAGATTATCAAGAGGAGACCAAGCCGAGAACGTTTTGAGACATCATTGGCGTTTAGTTTTCATAGAAATATCCTCAGCAATGGCTTATATCGCTGGAATGGAGGAAGCTATATATAAAAAAGAAAAATAAAAAGAATAAATACTAAAATAAAAGAAATGATAGGAGGAGGAGAAGGACGAAGAGAAGAAAAAATCTCGAGTTTCAAATCTATTAGATTTTATGTACAGACGCTTTATGAACATTGTTTTTTGTAAGTGCTCGTGTAGGGTAGCTCATGTGCCTCAATTTCCATGGATAATCAACCCCAGAGATAAAAGTTCAGGCGAGCGTGGGGACAGAGAGAACTATAAAAGAAGAAGAATACAGTAGAAGAATGATAAGAAAGAAGAAGAAGAGGAGAATAAGAAGAGGACGAAGAAAGGAAAAATCCAAAGTTCCAAATCTATCAATTTTAATTTACAAACGCTTTATTAAAATTGATTGTTTAAAGTGCTCGTGTAGGGTAGCTCATGTGCTTCATTTTCCATGGATAATCAACCCCAGGGATAAAAAAGTTCAGGCGAGCGTGAGGACAAATAGAAATATAAAAGAAGAAGCGGAAAGTAGAATAATAATAAGAAGAGAAGAAGAAGAGAAGAAGGAGAGAAGAAGAAAGGAAAAATGGAAAGTTCCAAATCTATCAATTTTAATTTACAAACGCTTTATGAAAATTGATGTTTTTAAGTGCTCATGTAGGGTAGCTCATGTGCTCCCCTTTCCATGGATAATCAACCCCAGAGATAAAAAAGTTCAGGCGCGCGCGGGGATGACAACATCGCTTGATGTTGCTATCTCAACATAGCGTTTCGAGGTGATAATGAAGTTCGGCATCAGGGCGACGATAATCAACTCTAAACACTGAAGGGGGGGTCCCTTTATTATCATCGGCATGCGGTTATTCCACTTTACCCGCCACGTGGCAAACGCCTGGGGCCGATATGCTTCTCCACTTTCCTCGCGACGTGGCAACGCCTGCGGGGCGGAAAATAATACCATCCCACACGAATTGCCACGTGACAGCGACTGGGGAGCGCGAGCAAAAACTACTCCACTCCACGACTCGCCACCTGGCAACGCCTTCGGGGCAGAACGAAGAATATTTCACTCTACTCGTCACGTGGCAACGCCGGGAGAGCGAGACAAATACTGCTCGACTCTACTCGCCACGTGGCAACGCTCGGAAGGGGGAAACAAATCCGCCACCGTGCCGCTGGGCACGCCGTGGGCGTGTCCTCAGGTTCTTTGCCTTATCTTCTAAGCCTAAGTCCTCACTCCAGAGAAATATCTAAGGCGCCGGGAACTCACATTGCCAAATCTCTCGTGTCATGTGGCGGCTTGTCGCGTGATGCTTTCGGAGCCCACGGGGCCGCATGACAGTCCAAGAGGGCCCCAAGACGTTGCCAAGACGGTCCGAAGGGCGCCGAGTCGCCGAACGATTGCTCTAAGACGCCCAAAATGGCTCAAGAGGCTGCCAAGACGCACGCCCCAAGAGCTTCTCCAAGAGTGCCCCCAAGAGGCACTCATAACTGAACGTCCTCTGTGTTCGAACGATGTTAGCGTTCTCGTCTTGTCGGCCTCCCAACGAGGCCCGGAGGACCAGGCCCAGGAGTCCCCGAAGCGAGCCCTAACACGGCCCAAGAAGCGCCCAAGACGGCCCAAGAGGCGCCCCAGACGGCCCAAGAGGCCCCAGGACAGCGCCAAAAGGGGCCCACGAGGGGGAACACGAGCCGAAGATCCGAGAGCCTTTGCGCCCCAAGACGCCCCAGGAGGCCCGCCCCCAGGAGGCCCGAAGAGGCCCCCAAGAGGCCCCCAAGAGGCCCCCAAGAGGCCCCCAAGAGGCCGCGGGAAGCCCCCGAGAGGCCCAGAATAGGCCCTGTGAGGTCCAAAACGGCCCCCAAGAGGCCTCAAAACTGCCTCCAGGTGGCCCGCGAGGAGCCCCCCCCCAACGCGAACCCGACAAACATCCGAGAGGCCTCATACCACAACCCAAGCACGGTGGCACGGTGGCGGACCTCGCCGCGTGGCAGCGCCTGCGGGGCCAAACACAGTCCACCACTCGACTCGGCACGTGGCAGCGAGGCGAGGCGGGAACAAACGCTACTCCGCTCTACTCGCCACGTGGCACCGCCGCGCGCCAAGCCTGGGGGGCAAACAAAAAAAAACGATCCCACGTCACGCGCCACGTGGCAGCGCCTGGACACGATAACGAAGGTTCCACTGTGTTCGCCACGTGGCAGCGCCGCGCGGGGCGGAACGGCTACAGCGCCACTCCCCTCGCAACGTGGCAGCGACAAACTGGCGAACAAACTACACCACAACTGTACGCGCCACGCGGCGGAGCCGCACCACGGAACAACTACTCTGTTGCATTCGGCGTGGCGGCGCTGCGGGGGCGAACGCAAAAACATGTTCTCGGCACGTGGTTCCATCGTGAACAAGGACGGCGACGACGACAACAACGACGATACCGACGACGACGACGACAACGACGACACGGACGACGGCGACGACGACGACAAGAACAATCATTTTAAGACTGTCCACTCCTATCTGCTCGCGTGCCTTTCAACACGTATGTCCCAAGCCCTCGGAACCCGCCCTCTTTGTCTTCGATCGTACCCCATTGGGGGTATGTCTTCCTTACCTGCCACGCGCATGTAGCGCAGCCCCCTAATGAGAGAAGAGAGGACGGATGGAAGTCGGAGGGGGAAGGATTGAGCAGGAGAGAAATTAACAGGAGGGGGGCTAGGAACAGAAACCACGTGGCATAACCGGACAGGCAGATCTGGAGGACAGACCCAATGGGGCGGGTCGGGCAGGCGGGCTCAGGCGGCCAGGTCGAGCAGGCGGGTTGCTGAAGCGTGAATCCTGCATGGTTCGCAAGGAAATCTCGAGCGATAGCGCGATTCCCAGGTGAACCGTGAGAAAGGGTCAAAGCGAGAGCGTGATTCCTGAGTGTCGAAGGCGCGGCGTCTGAATTAATTACGAGGAGCTCCCCCGCGACAGCACGATGTCCTGTAAATTTGTGTAACCCCCGCGCGACAGCGCGATTTTGGAATACATTGTGAGGAAATATCAGGCGGGAGCCGTTGTTGTTGTCAATCGGGGGGCAACAGTACAATTGAGCACGCAGATTCTCCGTACAGCAAACAAGGGGAGAACCCCGAGGGGGGCACTTCACTCGAAAAAACACAATCTGCACCGGTGGAGGGACCAACACGAATTATTTTTCAAGGGTGAATCTTCAACGACGACGACGACGACGGCGACGACGACGACGACGGACGGCGATGACGACGAAGGAGTCGGTGACGATATGACGACGACGATGACGACGACATCGACGACGACGATATGACGACGACAGTGACGACGACAATGACGTTGACGGACGACGATGACGACATGACGACGACGACGACAATGACAATGACAACGACGATGCCGACGACAACTACGACGACGACGACAATTACGACGACGACGACGACGACGACGACGACGACGGCAACCACAACGACGACGACGATGAAGACGATGACGACGACAGCGACGACGACGACGACAATGACGCCCGCCCGCCAGCGCGCCCGCCCCCCCCCTTGGAGGCCTGGAAATTGGCACCAACACCAGCACAGGGGGTTGCCTCCACATGGGAAACGTGATCCTGGATTTCGGTGTTGGTGGTAATATTCCGGTCACCCTGGAAGCCAGAATATTACCACCATCGCCGAGATTGGGATCTTCGTCCCTCGGTGGAGGCACACCGCCGATCTTGGTGTTGGTGTCAACCTCTGGGCCTGCGACCCCCCCCGTGCGCGCGCGTCCGCCCGCGCGCTCGCCCGTCTGCCGAAGCGCGCGCCCGCTTGCGCTGCCCTTTCCGCGTGCGCCCGCCCCCTGCGCATCCCCCCCGCCGCAGCAGCCGTTTGCAACGCAACGCCAATGTACACCGCAGTGCCTGCGCGCACCGCAGCGCCTGTGTTCACCGCAGCGCCTGTGTACACCATAGCGTCCGCGTGCAACGCAAAGCTGGTACATACCATAGCGCCCGTGTGCACAGGACAGGTAGACGGAGCATGTCGGTGAGGATTTGCTGCGGACAGCTAAACGCAAGGGTGGTGCTGATAATAAAATACGATGCAATTCCCTCCTCCCTCTTCCCCCTTCCTCCTCCTCCTCCTTCTCCTCCTCCTCCTCCTCCCAGACCCTTCTCCCCGTCGTGCGGGTCGGCGCTGCCGCGCAGGTGCGCATCTCAGCGTGAATCGCAGATTGGGAACGGGCAAGAAAAGGCAAGCGCTCGTGCCATGAAGCGCCACGGTGCCATGTCACAGGGCCTCCCACTGCACTGCCTCCAGTGCCCCGCGCCTCAAGCGAACTCCTTCAGGAGGGCGCCGCCCCTGTCCCCATACGCGTCCGGATCCCCAAGGCACGGCAGTATGGCACCTCCTCCTCGTTTTCCTCCTCAACTGCCGCCCCCTCCTCTTCCTTTTCTTCTTGTTGTTTATGTTATGATTCGTATTCTGTTCATCCGTTTTGTCATTATTTTTCATCCTGCGTTCCTCCTCTTCGGGAAGACTCGCAGATTCAAGAGGCGCTCCGATTTCCGTACGGATTTCTCCAAATCTTGTATATATGAATGCCTCCTGTGGAATCTACAGGCGCTCCATCTTGTCATAAGGGTTGCAAGTAAATGGTAATGGCGTGTATTGCAGATGGTTGCTCTGGTGCACATACGCGACGTGGTGTACACAGGCACTGTGGTGCACGCAGGCCCTGTGGTGTACACTGGTGCTGTGTTGCACACGGCTGCTGTGGCGTACGCAGGCGCTGTGTTATCCACAAGCGCTGTGGTACACGCAGGCACTGTGATGCACTCTGGCGCTGTGTTGCACGCGGCTGCTGTGGTGTACATAGGCGATGTGGCGTACACAGGCGCTGTGGTTCACGCAGGCACTGTGGTTCACACAGGCGTTGTGGTGCAGATCGGCAAGCATTCCTAGGCATTCCTAGGCATTCCCAAACGCCGCCGGCGCGGCGCGCAACGTGACGTCACCGGCCCCGTCCCCTCCTCCCTCCTCCCTGCTCCCTCCTCACCCTCCTCCTGCTCCCTCCCCCCTCCTCCCTCCCCCTTCCTCCTCAAACCACTCTTCTGTTGCCAGCCTCCACCCCGCACCACCCCCAAGATCCGCCCTCGCCTGCAGTTCCCAGCTCTGCCCTGGAAAATCACCAGGCTTGGGAGATCGTTCTCCAGGGTTTGGTTCTCAATCTTCCAGGTTTGCTGCGTTCCCGAACGCGTCGGGAAAATTCACGGGTCTGACCCGCAAGTGTTCCGGGCTTGTCCTCCGAACTTTGAGTGTTCGTTTCTTCTACACTTCGGCTTGCCCCGTCAATTTCTGGGCTTTCCCCCTTTGCCGGGAGTTCAACGAGATGGAAGACTGGATGCTTCTGCAAGAGCTCCTCCTCCTCCTCGTCAGCATTCCTCGCCCTTCCTCCTCCGCCTCCTCCTCCTCGTCCGTCTCCTCCTCCTTCTCATCCCTTTCTTCTTCCTCCTCCTCCTCCTCCTCCTCCTCCTACTTCTCCCCCACCTCCTGTTCCTCCACCTCTTTCTCCTCCTGGTGAACCCTTTCTCTTGAACAAGGCCGAGCCCGCTCTGGCCCTGGTCCTCCCACTTCTTCTGCTCCGCGAAGACAGGCTCAAGTTCCGACAGCCACTCCGACGCTGCGTCGCAGTCCGCCACCACCCCGTCAAGCTTCTCCTGGATGGCAGTATCCTCTCCCCGCCTCCTCACACTCCTCCTCCCCCTACTTCTCCTCCTACTCCTCCTACTACTACTCCCTCGCCCTCCGCACCCCTCCTCACCCTCATACTCCTCCTACTCATCATCCTCCTCCTCCATCCACCTCCTCTTCCTCCTCCTTCTACTCCTCATCCTCCTCCTCGTCATCGGCATCATCAACAGCAGCATCAACATCAGCATACTGATCATGATGACGATAACACTAGTAGCAGGCATCAGCATCAATATGATAATGAAACAGAGTACCACTGATAATAGCAAACAATAGTTATGCTGACCATGACAATAACAATTGTAATCTTAATACGAATAAAACATTACTCATACGAACATTAGCAATAACACTACTGAACAGAAATTTAATAATCAGGATAGTATGAAAACCAATGCATTAACAGAAGAACTATTAGCACTCGGCATCAGCATCGTCATCATAATGATCATCATCATCAGCAGCAGCATCGTCATCGTCATCATCAGCATCAGCATCAGCATAATCATCATCATCGTCATCATCATTGTCAGCGGCATCACCATACACAGCAGCATCTCCATCAGCATCACCAACATAATGATCAAGATCGATATCATCAATATCCTCCCATACTGTGCAATCGGCATGTTTTGTCCGCATAGTCGTGCTCAGCACCTCTTCAGACATAACTACCATCCTCCTCCTCCACCTCATCCCAATATTCATTATGTTCATTATCAGCCGCACCCCATCGTCATCAGCTTCATCGTCCTCGTCACCGTGTGGCTACTTTCTGTCACTTGGTGCACTGAGCACCCTTACGACAGGGACTCACCCTCGTCAAACATGCTTCTTATATTCACGAATCTCCTTCTAGATTGAAAAAGAAACAGATCGTCCACACTTCTGCAAGAGACTTGCCTGTACAAGACACTCTCTCCAGCAACTATACGGGTACGTTCGATACCGTGCTTCCGACCTAGCGTTAGGTCGGGCATGTCCCCCTACAGGAGGATTTTGAGCGAAAGAAATACTCAACAAACATTCCCAAACGGCAACATGTTACGGATAACAATCCCCAGACTATTGTTCAATATGCCTCCTGTAGAGGGACACGCCCGGCTTACACCTAGCGCAGAGCACACTGGTCTTGAGGCCACCACTTGACGGATGGAGGGCTCACAACTGGGCACCGCGCGAGTTAATCGAAGGAAGCTGGATTTCAGCATCAGCGTTATCCTGCTGGTGCACCTCTTCCTTCTCGCATTCCTCTGCCTGTTCCTCGTTCCCTTGGCCAATCGATTGGCGAAACTCGGCGGCGGAGGAGGGGAGATTCTGCAGTGTCGCCGCCTCCGCTGATGATATCTCTTCCATTATCGTCCTGCCGCTGTAGCCACCGCAGCCGCTGCTGCCGTCGATGCCGCTGTTGTCTCTGTTACGCCTCCAAACTCCCTTTCCTTCTTTAACCTCCCCTCCCGTCATCCACACCCACATCCTCCTTCTGGCCCTCATGAACCAGCCCCCTAGTGATCGTTCTCCTCCCCGCCCTCTTTCTTTCTCCTCGTCTTCCTCGTCCTTCCCCACATCCACCTTCATACTGTTCTACTCACACGAACACGCATTCCTCCTCATTCCACAATCCTCAATGTCCTCCACATCCTGCCCCTCCTCTCCATCCACGGCGTAGCATCGTCCTCCCTTCACGACCTATTTCCCGCTCGTGAACCCTCTTCATTACACATGCTACCTGCCTATCGCACCACCAGGCGCGTCGACGGGAGTGGCCGGGCGTTGTGGCATGCATCCCCTGTGGGGTTGCAACAGTGCGATGACTCCTTGTGGAGCGATGACCACGGCCCGAAGTAGAACGGTGGTGAATACAGTGGGGACTCGGCCACAAGAAAGCTCCGCAAGAAACCCAACCCTGAGATCCGCGATTTGTTCAGTGCAAGTCCACATGTGTCGATCGGCGATCGTCAAGATCTGATTGGGAGCCCATCGAAATCCAAGAAACCCAGGGCACCCTGGCAGAATCCAACTGATTTCTCGGCACGCGACCCCACTGTAGCTTTCTGTCCGGCGTATCCCCCTACAGGGGGATTTTCGACGAAAAATAAGAAATACTCCAAAAATACCCCCAAAATGCCAAAGAAAGACTCAAAGAACAGTCCCCAGACTATGTTTGGATTATTTGATAACTATTTTCACTGTATTTTTTCATTTTTCGTCGAAAATCCCCCTGCAGGGGGACAGGCCCGACTGAACTGCAGCTGACATCCAGGATGCCGCAGCCCGCGGGCCGTGCTCCTCGGCCGTGCGGAGTCGAACGTGACCGGCGCTCCGTCGGTGCGTTGCCCCGGCTCCGCACGGAAAGCGATCGCCTTGAAGGGGCCCTGGGACACACAAATAAATGCACACAAATAACAGGATTTCCAATAGTTTCCAATATTTTCTGGGTTTCTTGTCTTCCCCGCCACTTCCCATAGTTTCCCATCTTTTCTGGGGAATCGACGATTCATTGTGTCTGTGTGTTTTTGTCCCTCCTGATGGGTCACTGACGTCAGCTGTCTCTTGTGCTAGATAGCCGAATCTGGTGCGAATGATGCACATGAAATAAAAATGGTGGGGTCGGTCCTGGTACCATCTATCTCTATTCCGTAGTTGATGACGTTTCTGGGAATTCGCATCGCAATGTGGCGCGTGGTGCCGCTTAGACCTCGCTGCAAAGCAGCAGCTGGTTATTGTGGGGTCAAGCGGCCCTTTGTCAAAGCCACGCGTGGAATTCAAACACCCAATCTTGAAAAGATGCGCTTCTTTGCGGGGGACAAGTAAGTTCCTAGAGTGATTGTTTCGTCGTTGCTTCGGTACATGTAGCCAGTCGCCCAAGTGCTAGGCAAAGGGCTGCAAGACTGATGAAGCCGTAGTGATCTGGAAAGCGCAGAGTTATCCAAGAGCCCCCCAGAAGCATCCCAAAATACCTTCACATGCATCCAAGAGGCCTCTGAACCACCGCCCAGCAACGGTGGCGGGATGGGTCGAAGGCCATTAGATCCGCCGCCCCCTGTCGATTCATCGCAGGGGTGCCTGGCGTGCTAGACCCTCTCGGTTTTGGTGTTGGTTCTTTTTCCGAAAGAACTCCCCCTGGGGCTTCGTCACGTCCCGCCGACCACCCGGAAGAGGTGGTTGCAAACGGTTTTCCTGCCCCAGAGGCCCCCAAGATGGCCTCCAAGACGGCCAAGATGCCTGCAAGACAGCCAAGATGGCCTCCAAGACGGCTCGGATGGCACCAATATTCATCCAAGACGAGACGGCCTAAGATGGCCTGAAGATGGCCCAAGGCGGCCCAAAAGGCCCCCAAGAGGCCTCCGAGACGGCCCAAGAGGCCGCCAAGAGGTCCTCCAGGAAGGCCCACAAAGGCAAAATCATTGATGCCCCTTAGGTTTTTCACAGATTTTGGCACTTGCGCCTTTCCGGCTTTCCGACGGCCCCAGACGGCCCAAGAGACCCCCAAGGTAACCCCAAAATCGCCCAAGAGGCCTCCAAGATGGCCCCGTGACGGCCCAAGAGGCCCCCAAGACGGCCCAGGAGGCCTCCAAGACGCCCAAGATGGCATCTAAGATGGTTCTGGAGCACCCCGAGAGGGCCCAAGTCGGCCCAGAAAGGCTCCCCGAACTGCTTCCGACGGCGTCAGGCGGGCCAGGAGCCCACCAAGATGGCCGAAGTTGGCTCCGCCCAAGAGGCCTCCAAGTCCTCTTCCTCTTCCTCCTCCCTCCTCTCCTCCTCTCACGCTTCGTGGCCCCATAGGGAGGTCCACCTAAGGCCCCAGTGTATCACATGCGTCTCCCCCACCCAGTACAACGCTTCGTGGCCCAATAGGGAAGTACACGTAAGGCCCCAGTGGTGAATACCACATGCGTCCCCCCCGCCCAGTACAGCGCTTCGTGGCACCATAGGGACGTCCACCTAAGGCCCCCGTGGCGCAGCCCGCATGCGTCTCCCTCACCCAGTACAACGTTTCGTGGCCCCATATGGGAAGTCCACCTAAGGCCCCAGTGGTGTGTACCACATGCGTCTCCCCCACCCAATACAGCGTTTCGTGGCCCCATATGGGAGGTCCACCTGAGGCCCCAGTGGTGTGTACCACATGCGTCTCCCCTACCCAGTACAGCGTTCCGTGGCCCTATAAGGAGGTCCACCTAAGGCCCCAGTGGTGTGTATCACATGCGTTTCCCCCACCCAGTACAGCGCTTCGTGGCCCCATAGGGAGGTCCACCTAAGGCCCCAGTGGTGTGTACCACATGCGTCCCCCCCCCACCCAGTACAGCGTTTCGTGGCCCCATAAGGGCTCCGCCGAAGGTCCCCGTGGCGCAGTCCGCATGCGTCTCCCTCACCAAGCCACCCAGTACAGCGTTTCGTGGCCCCTTTTTCGTAGCCCTATAGGGAGGTCCACCTAAGGCCCCAGTGGCGCAGTCCGCACGCGTTTCCCCCAGCCAGCACAGCGGTTCGTAGCCCCATAGGGGTTCCGCCGAAGGCCCCCGTGGCGCAGCCCGCATGCGTCTCCCCCACCCAGTACAGCGCTTCGTGGCCCCACCGGGCCCCACCGAAGGTCCCCGTGGCGCAGCCCGCATGCGTCTCCCTCACCCAATACAACGCTTCGTGGCCCCATGGGGAGGTCCACCTAAGGCTCCAGTGGCGTGTGCCACATGCGTCCCCCACCCCACCCCACCCAGTACAACGTTTTCGAAGCCCCATACGGGCTCCGCCGCAGGTCCCCGTGGCGCAACCCGCATGCATCTCCCTCACCCAGTACACCGTTTCGTGGCCCCATATGGAGCCCCATCGAAGGTCCCCGTGGCGCAGTCCGCACGCGGTCCCCCCGCCCAGTGCAGCGGTTCGTGGCCCCATAGGGAGCCCCTCCGAAGGTCCCCGTGGCGCAGTCCGCATGCGCCTCCCCCCCCACCCCACCCCACCCCACCCGGCACAG